TTAGAATTCCGAAATTCGAAATACTTGCAATTCTAATTTCGGTAGCGCAAAGTCACATGAACATTTTATCGTTCACAGTTAATACTCATGTAGAAGCTAAAGTTCCATGCTGCATAGCTTTATGATAAGTGTTTTCAGTAATCTCTGGAACCTTACTTCAACCCCTTCTGCTCCACAAATAACACATAGACCAACAAGCTTCTTCGAGGAGCATGCATTTGAAACTTCCATTCTGCCATTTAAGATTGTCAGAATTGCTTGTTCTAAACTTGCATGATCAACTGGATCTCTTTGTTTATAATGCTGTAACAGGTGTCTAGGAAGTGTAAAAATGGTTTTTTTTTATTGCCACATGAAATTTTTGCAAAGTTTTTACATTCATTTAAAATACTTTAAACTGTATAAAAAATTCGTATCTATAATGTTACACAATTGAATTCCAGCCAATCATGCAAATGTCTGGGATGCTGTGGTGACACAAATTGTTTCAATTTAGCCTACTTTTTTCATAAAAAGACTAAACTTTATTTGCTATTTGTACACTGATCTACTGTTGATCTGTCATGATTTAGGAAAATATGCTAACCATCTTTCTGCGATTTGTTGTTGCAGATTTTATATATACCTGTATATTGACTAAGACTAAGACCAAGACTGGCTCACATTTTTCGCCTCCGTACTCGTATTCTTTTTATAAAAAAAATTTTCTTGTGTATCGTTACTTTGTAGCGTATTATTTGTCTGGAAAAAAAAATCAATACAATGAGCGAAGAAAATTACTCGCTTCCCTGTACCGTTTTGAAATTTGTACTCGGTTTTCTTGTACTGTATAATTTATTTGCGCTGAAATTAAATTTTGCGAGCGAGCGCACCATCTTCAATAATGTGAACATGATTACATACCAGTTTCTTTACTTACGTAAAATTTAATTCTGTGTTTGCAAAATAAAAATGAGCGTTGTTATTGTATACTTTAACTATTCTATATTATATACTGTATTCAATTTTAAAGAAGAGAAAAAATTGATAACGTTCTTTATTATTTAAATTATCACTTTACTTTATGTGATGTGAAAGTATTATCTGATTTAAAATAACTGTATTGTATAATAATAAGACGGGTAATGCCGATCAACTTGTTTTAGAAGTCCAATCCGCCTTTCTTGCCTTTATGTTGTTTAACTTGACTTCCTACTGTTCAAGATCATTATTCTCTTAAAGATCACTTCGACTAATTAACGAATAAAAAATTTTTTGGCTGCACAGGTTCGTTTCTATGCATCATCAGATGCTTGTGTCGGGTGTGATCTATTTAAATTCTTGTGCGCATGAATTAACGGCGATCACTTTACCCTTCGACTAATGAGCGGATGGATATACTGTACGTTTCTGCTATGTTATTTATCTTTAGTATATATATCACATCCACAAGCAAAAAATCCTAATAATCGATAAAAAAAAAAGCGACGATATCTGTCATAATAATAATAACACTTAAGATATCGTCAATAAGGTGGTTCAAGCTTACTTCCCCTTCACTAAGCTCGCTGTGCTATTGTCTCTTGTCCCCTGTCAAAGAGAAAACGTATAGAAGACATTGACATCTATATTCTTATATTTAGCCGCATTTCTCCGTAACCATCCGTCTTATCACAACTTCCTTCGCATATCTGAACGTTTTATTTTCGTCCCTTTCTCTTCAATACTCTGCCAAAACATCTTCCCCACAGAGAAAGAGAAGGAGAATCGGGTCAGAGTTATCCGAGGAAGATTACATTGATACTTACGACGGGGATAACGGGAGTGAAATGTACTATGAATCAGGTAAAGAACGGAACGGGAATGAGAGGGAGATGTGTGTATGGTTGTGTGTATAGGTTATGTTGTTTCGCATTTAGAATAAACATACTGCCAGCCTATGCATACTAATCACACCTTAATGCTGAAGATATTGCATAATTACGAAATATCAATGTATTCACTCATTAACACTGCATACTGGCTTTTCTCTTTACAAAACACTACAATAACGAATAACATAAGAAACGGAAGACATACTCGACGATCCCACGATCTAAACTTTGAACCGAGAAAGATTTATGAAGTCGACTTTAAAGTACACACTCTACCGAAGGCATCGTCAAAAGACCAAGATGAAGAAGTGACTCACGTGGCATCTAAAAGAGCACGCTGCAACACTACTTCGTCATTTCATCGAACGCTATATGGACGATTCACAAGATGTATTGCAGAAAGCGGGCGTGATAACTGAAAATTCTAGGGCGACGAGGATCATCAGAATTCCGGGATTTGTGTGCGAGATTTGCTGTGATTATGATAATATGCCTACGTTAGCATTATCATGTGGACATAGGTTTTGCCGTAATTGTTACGAACATTATTTGACACAAAAGGTTAAAGAGGAGGGTGCATGGCTAGTAAATGTAATGTTATTGTAGATGGAAAGACAGTAGGACTTATTGTAAGCCCCCGGAAATACACGAAAGGTAAGGGTGATAGAATACTACGGAAGGGAAAGCGTCGTTGGGGTATCGGCTATATGTTGTATGTCAATTTGGAATCTATGTCAATTTAGAATCGACACATATGTCAATTCCGAATGGACATATGTTAATTCTAAATTGACATATGTCAGGTTGGAATTTATGTCGATTCTAAATTGACATATGTTGATTCCAAATTGACATATGTCAGGTTGGAATTATGTCAATTCTAAATTGACATATGTCAGTTTGGAATTTATGTCAATTTGGAATCGAC